GCCAATGGTTCCTACCCCAACCGTGCTGCAACGACTGAGATCCGTAGTGCATTCTTTCGTTTTTTGGGTCCATCTCCGGCCAAGACGGAAGGCCATCTCGGACCTTGCGCCTTTGGCGTTTGGCTTCTTTGTTGCATCGAAAACTACTACCTCTTTTCTGCATTTCATGACAAATGTTTCTTTGTGCCATTGTCACAGGTGCAAATTACAGCCGGCCGGGAGGTGATAGCGGGTCTCCAATCATAGCACGGTCTGCACATGTGTCAACACCCCACAAAAGGGCATCTGCTGGCGACTGCAGGAAAAACTGCAAGCCGCTCGGCTTTCAACCCATCGAGTTGATGGAAACTGAAACACCAAAACAGCAGGGATAAGCACAGCTGATACGAGCGAGCGGACATTTTGTTACAGTATGTCAAAGTCACAGTTCTGTTTCTTCATGTTTCTGGCAAATGTCCTAAATGTTTTTGTTATGTGTTTCCTTGCGCTGGTTGTTGTAGAGGGGTCCCTGAGCCGATTTGGAGACCCTCCCGTACGAACCAAACTATGCGAGTCCAGGAATTGCCTGATCATGGCCAGTTGTGACATGAACACCCTGCAAATAAGAATGGCAGCAATCCACAGCAGTTGGAACATCGGCACTCCAACAAGCCAGTCAACCAGCTGGGTCTTGCTTGAATACTTGCTGTAGATCACAAACCCATGTTACAGTTCTACACAATCTGACCAGAATCATATAGAGCCTCAATCTACACGGTTCTGCCCCAGCATTTTGGCGCCAGTCCCAACGAAGTGACTTCGGGCTCGAGGCAGCTAGGCGCAGCGACAGGGACACGACGTCAACGCCGACTTGCCCTAGCAAAGTGGTCGGAGAGGGTATACAAAAACATGTTATTATCAAAATACTGTAATAGCAACAAATCCTTAGGGCCCTGGGGTAGTCACCTTGAATTTAAATATGATTTTCACTTCAGTGGTGGAACAAATCAGTTGTCTACAACCCACCCTTGAACTCCTCTTCTATTGGGAGCTTGGGGATCGCAAGCACATGCACTGGCACTCCGTTTCTCTGAAAACGGATGGGCTGCTCGTTGACCGTGGTCGTTTCTCCCGCGAGAAAGGCGACGCGTCGGCGAACCCCAAAACCTTTAGTCTTCCCAAGCACTCACCATGGGAATGGCATGTTTGCCTGTTCAACCACCCCCATGTCTGCGGGCATGTATGCATGATGGAGTGTCTTATTTCCAAGTGTGGTGCACATGGTACACATTCTCTTTCCGGGATCCTCCTTGAGTCCAAGCAAGCAAGAAATCCACGTGGGGGCGTGGGGGCGGCGATTTCTTGGATTCAAAGGTCCCCCAAACGAATGGCCGCTTCACCACATCGAAGCCAAGCGATGAACTGTGAGACCTGCATGACTTTTGTCCAATACATTTGATTGTTCCACACATGCTCATGAACTGGTTGCATTCGATTGGCCGCGTCCATTCATATCATCTTTGACCGCCCGAGAAGTCAACAACTCGTGTTCCATGCGTGATCGATGGAGGTGATGAAGGTGCGTTCCGTGAGGTGTCAATGGTGCTCTCTTAATTGGAAACAAGGATGGGGATGGATGGGGGCATGGCTCTCGGGAACCTGAACCTAATATGCAACACAGCTTGCTGTGGCAATACGGCAATGTGTATAGTGTTACATCCGCAACTGCAAATGTGTGACTCTGTTATGTGTATGCTAACTGCACTGGGCCCCATACCGGGCATGATACTGCAAGTCAAGTACAGTAAGTAATTAGTTGTAATAGCTGCTAGAACACCCAGTAGAACAATCCATGCGATCAAACATTGAATGCATCTCCACTTTGGAGGCTCCGACACCACTTTTTGCTGGGGCATGTCCCCTGAGTAATGTTCGGCACAGCTCATGCAAAGCTTACCTGGGCCAAGGGACCAAGAGACTTTGACGTCTAACTACATATTTGCACTGTCTTGCAATGGCATTTTTGATGCAATGGCCGGCAATTTAAGCCACTATATATATATATATTTTTTGCAACAACAGCAGGGATTGCACCGTGCAGTGAATCTTCCACAAAGCCGTGAGAAAAACATGTGACCAACACAACAAACACAGTCACAACAAAACATCTACCATTCTCAAGACCAATAACTGACTCCAGCTCCAGGTTCACGCAACAGCACACAACTTTGGATCCTTTTGTTGGCTCCAAAGTGGTGACCATCATGGATGATCAGGGGTTCTCCTTCTTGAATCTGGCCTGCTAGGGTCCATAGAATCGTTTTCTATACTTTTCTACTCCGCGACCCCTGCCACCACTGCATGATAATATATTTATGTGTTTTCTTCTCCTAAGCCCAAGGTCGAGTCTTTACAGTCCTTTTGTCCCATGCAATTGTAGCCGTGACCTGATGTAGCCCCTCGACGTTGGCATGCATGCAGCTCCTGAAACATGTACAAAACAGATCAAAACAGTCATACAGTGGCGGTGCTCCCCCAGTTTCCCTGGCAAATAGAGGCTGCGGCTGATCAATTTGAGTGGGGAAACCACTTATGTGATCCACTGGTCCGAAAGGTATATGGGTCACGTCCCCCCCAGTTCTGCCCTTCCAAACCGCACGACACCGAAAAACCAGTGCGACACCGAGGGGCTCCAGCCCGTGCGCCGACGCTGGCAGCACGCCGCGGGGCCACGCGATCGAAGGCGGCGACGAGCCGCGCATGGTCCCCAAGCGCCGACCCGAAGCGCCACTGGGAGGGGCGCCGTTCCTGGTAGTAGCGTCCGAAAGAGACGAATCATGCCGGTCAAGTCAGGGAGGCGATGTGTTTGGTGGTACGCCCTGCCATCACAAAGAGTTCGGGAACTAGGGCCGCTATAGGGTGTGCTGTGCTAGTGCTGCCATGACCTATGACGACAACATTAAAAGTTTGAAAGCAAAGACACAACGAGCAGCAAGGCAGCTCCTCAAACATGCTGGATGATTACTCATACAAACCTCCCCAACTTGCAGAACACTTCAGATTATGTTAAAAACAAAAGGTACTCTGAGTGACTTTGATGAGTGAGGAATTTATGCGATGGTTGCACAATCTAATTGATGGTAAACTTTTGCTGATATGTTTTGCATCGTGCAATCCAACTGAGCCAACGACATTCTTGCAGTTGAGACTTCCATGTTTTCCATGTTCATAGGATTCGAAAAACAACCCCTCTGCACCAGAAAAAAAGGTGTCCATGTGATTTTAAAAAAAAGGTCGACCGGGCCTCAAGACCCCAGCACCATCAATTTCACGCAGTGAAGTGGTGAAGTGTAAAATAGAATCAACCATTGCCCCATTTTTCATCATTTTTCGAGCAACTATCAAAACATGTCTACTCAGGTCTACTCAGTCTACAACGATGTCTACTCAGTGGCGGCGGTCCGCGGTAGAACTGCCTAGGCTCGGGTAGAACTGTTTCACTTGCTCCGGCGTCAAGGGCGGAGGGGTGTTGCTGGAGCCGCTGCCGTCGCCATCACCATCGCCATCACCGGAAGAAGAGTCACCGGAGTCACCTGAGTCGCCATCACGCACCTAGAATTGTACCAAACAACATGGTGTTGGTTTTTGCTTTTGGCTTTACAATCTTTTATATATGTCCAGCTTCTTTTGGTTGTGTTTTTAGAATTGTACCAGATTTTGTCAAGCTGGGAAGGTTGCATGAAGTAGAAAATGCCACAGGCGGGCGGGCCACCCGCCCTGTACCAGAGTAATCCCTCGAATACTGAGGCCCCTGTGTATATTAGACCATTCATGTAAATGTATAGAAATACAATACAATAAAATAAATATGTACAAAATTGGCAAATCATTTGTTTGGCATGTCCTCCCAAATCACAACATGCAGCGCGAAGCATGAACATCAGCCGAACCATTTCTACGGTTGTTCAAACTGAGTGGTCAAAAAATCACAAAATTATTTCGACCACCTGCGTAGACAGAAAACCAGTGGATGATGATGGTCACTAAGGAGTGGAAAAACACATCTGACCAGTTTCTGAGTGCGTGATTGACATGTCACAGAATGTCTCTTCAAATCTTCGGGGTTTGGGCGCCCGCCATTGTCCTGGGTTTTTTTCCTCCCACGCATGTTTTGACATGGAGGAAATCTTAACCTTGTCTTTCGCCGCACATTAACTTGTCCGTGAAAACGAGGATCAACATGTCAGTTGCAAACTCCAACCACAGCGGAGTGCTGAGTCTGCAAAGCTCAAGTAGAAGTTAGGCGAGGACTCATCAAAGTGTTCGTTCACCGTAGGTTTTCTGATGCATGTTCAAGGGAACCTTCACCTTGTCTCGACCCTGGGGATCACTCCAAACCGGTCAGCCTGGTTTGTTTAGTCAGCCTGGCAGCCCTGTCCCTCATCAGAACTGAGACAAACCTGTAAAAATAGGTGAATCTTGGCGAATGTGCAAAGCTCTTTGCCGCTTGGATCGTTGATATGTTATGATATGTTAAGCAATTAATGTCAACTCAGGATTAATAAATCCACTCTGGTTAATCCGAGCCCACACAACCTCCGAAAACTGCCCAAATTAAAAGTAGTATGGGTGGTTGATTTCCTCCCTCATTGTCTGATTGTCTAGTTGGGCACCAGAAATTCACCCCAGTTAACCCGAGCCGACATCCAGGTCCATTTGCTACTACTACTACTACTACTACTACTAACTATTGCTGCTGCTTCTACCACCACTACTACTACGACGAATACAGCTGCTGCTACTACTACTACTACTACTAGTACGACTACGACGACGTCGACGACGACGACGACTACTACTTACTACTACATACTACCTACTACTACTACTGCTACTACTACTACTGCTACTACTCCTACTCCTACTACTACTACTACTACTATTACTACTACGACGACGGCTACTACTACAACAACAACAACTACTACTACTACTACCTACTACTACTACTCCTACTCCTACTCCTACTACTACTACTACTACTTATTACTACCTACTAGCGCTAGGGTTTAGTCACCCGGGTTTGCAGAAAGTCACCCGGCCGCATGGAAACGCAGCATTAGTCAAAAGTCACCCGGCTCGCGAAAAGTCACCCGGTTTATGTTAAAACACAATGTAAACGCTCTACGGAAGCATGTTTGTCAAAACTGCTATACATCAAGAATTCACTGCCCCTGTGCAGGAAAGAACTAGTTTGATGTCGAAGTTTGCAGCGTTTTGGTGACCAAACCCCAATCAGAACGCAAGGTTAGGACTATGGTGAAGATTACCCCCTAAACATAGATGCAGCATGCTGCCCTGCTTGCTTTGCTCTTCAAGAGCTGTGCATTAATGACCTTCATGTGGAAAAAATCACTAAAGGAAACATGGTGAGGCTGGCGCGAGTGCCACGCGAGTCTTTTCGACCCTGTCGCGAGTGCCGCGCGAGTCCCATGCAACCATGTACCCACGCCCCATGTACTCACGCCCCATGTACCTAATGGTGTTGAACTGACGCTCCAAAGCTTATCTTCCAATGAGGGTGACATCTTGCATCTAACCCCAATGGAAACGCAGCATCCAAACAATGTTG